GGATGCTAGTTATATTGGTTTAGCATGGCCTCACCTTTACTAATTATATCCGCAACCGCCCTACTTCCAAAAAATGGCACATTTGAGGTACCAGGGGTTAGGATGTCAATGTATCCTTTTGAATGGGGACATAATGCAACTCACAACATTGGCTTCGCACACAAAATGGACTAAGGGATGAGTATTTTGCATTTTGACTAAACTTCCTTGGATGAAGTATTGACGTTTGAAGTATTGTTACAGACATGGTTCCATAGCGTAGCGGTTAGCACGTCTGCTTTACGCGCAGAAGGTCCTGGGTTCGTGCCCCAGTGGAGCCACAGTCCATGGTCTATGGCCATGCCACCCTGAACAAGCCCGATGTCTGATCTCGGAAGCTAAGCAGGGTCGGGCCTGGTAAGTACTTGGATGGGAGACCACCTAGGAAGACCAGGTGCTGTAGGCATAAATAATAATAATAAAAAAAAATGAAGTATTGTTGCAAGTTCATTCTTGCCTCAAATATGTAGAAGGTGTCTCCTCAGCAGCTGCAGGAGGAGCACCACACGGAGAATTGAGAGGTGTGCCCCGTGTCACCTGTGTACCTCCACCTGCCACGTGCGGCTTTCTTGAGTGTGGGCCTTGGGCCTCTTGCATCAGAACCACTTGGGTGGTGGGCGGAGCCTTGTTAAAAACTCCGACTCTCTGTGGGCGAGAACCAGTAATCTGTTTCTTGTGTTTTTGTTTTTGTTTTTAAGCAGGTGTTACGCGTTTCATTGCATCTTTCCGAAAGATATGCTGCAGTCCTAATCCCCAGGACCTCCGCCCGGGAGCCGTTTTGGACGCAGGGTTGTTTGAGAGTGACGAGTTGAGATGACAGCACACTGGAGTAGAACGGTCCTTACAAGAAGAGGAGAAGGGACACGGAGACGTGCGGGGCGGGTGGCCACGCGGAAACAGCGACACCCAGGGAGAACGCCGAGGGCTGCCGAGGACCACTGTCACTCCAGAGCTGGAGGAGTCGGGGAAGGACTCTGCACGGAGTCTCAGAAGGAACCGACCCTGCCAAGGCCTTGACTTCGGACTTGGGGCCTCCGCAAGCGGGAATGAACGAATACATTGCTGTAGGAAGGCACCCAGGCTGTGCTACTTTATGATTCCAGCCCGGAAAATGAACGCGAGAAGCTCCCTAGGCAATGCCTTGTGCAAAGTAATTGAAAACCACTGAGCTTAACCGTCTCTCCTTCCGGCTCTGCCAGCTGGGACGTTGCGGGGCTTTGCGATGCCTCCATAGGTCTTCACCCGCTTCTTTCTCAAACCATCGCCCGGCCGCGTTCCTGATACCTGCGCTCTTCAGAAGAGAGAACAAGCTGAGGAGAAACTGCCCAGGAACCTTGTCGCACGTGGCGATGGGAACTGAAGAGTTTGTCTGAAGGTTCATGGCTGGCGAGCAGCCAGGCACGGCTTCCCGCTCTCGGGTCTGTGTGACACTCAGTTTTCACCGTGTCTGACACTCCTGCCCCACCCCCGGTCTCTGGGTCTGAGCTGGACAACCTTTGCAAAGAGGTTCAGCAAATTTCATGAGCACCGACTACCCAGGTGGGTCCCCGAGAGGAGAGGCCCACCCCACTTTCCCTCAGGACCTCCTGGCCCACACTTTAGGGCAGCTGGGCTCTGCCTTCTGTCACCTTCTAACACCAAAACAGGTGACACTTTTCCCAAAGCTCCCTCCCTACAAATCCCAAGCCAACCTAAAGAGCAGCCCCAACTCAGGGCCCCACACAAGACACCCCTGTTTATCCTTCAGGGGACATTTACTGTGCTGAGCACCAGGCACATGCCCTGTGCTGTGGGAGAAGCCAGATGTCCCAACATGCCCTAATCCTCAAGGAGCTAAAGAGGTTGAGAATTCTGCATATTTTTCCAGCAATGTTCCAGACTTAGGCCTCATTGTCCTGCGCGGGGCAGTGGCTGTGAGTCACACAGAGGAACATCTAGTAGCCTCCTGGGGATCTGTGTCAGGTCACACGGGCTGGCCAGTGGCTCCCTGATCCCGATCCTCCCCTTTGTCCCCTTGCCGATCTCCATATGGGCCTTAATGGCTCTGCGGAGCTTGGGTTCCAAATCCAGGTGTTCTCTGGGCCTTATCTCCCTCCTGGAAAACTGTAAAAATTAGCCCAAGTCAGCCAGCACAGGCCAGTGCTCTCTTAAAGGCACTACTTTAAAAGCGCTTGGGATCACTTCGCTTTCTCTTTTCAGGCACAGCAAAGTCGTCTCTTCCATTCACTGAGAGCTAACAAGCTCCAGGCTGTCAGTCCAAGCTTTTACGTAGGTATCTGAACTTCGTCCTTGCAACCTTCCAATTAGATAAGCACTCTGACGCTTCTCATTTTATAGATTCAGAAATATATATATATGAGGCACAGAGATGTTAAGTGACATATTCAAGGTCACACAGCTGTTTCGAGAAATTGGATTCTATCCCAGGTACTGCTGAGAGCTCATAATGAAAATCTCACACAGCAGCTAGAATGTCTGAGGCGTGTATGCACGTAGATAGTTAGATGATAGATAGATAGATAGATAGATAGATAGATAGATAGATAGATAGATAATAGGTATGATAGGTGGGTAGATGATATAGATAATGATAAATGCTTGATAGATGATTGATAGATGATAGATAGATAGATCATAGATATTCTCTCTTTGTAAGAAGCTAGTAACTTCCACAGGGATAGGAATTATTTGTTATTATATTTTTTAAATCAGTCTTTTAAAAATTCCACCCGTACGGACGCCCAGCCTCGTGATGGCCATCTTCCCGAGGAGGAACAAACGCTCAGAGAAGTCAAGCTCTCTGAGCAGGCACCACGCCAAGAGGCCTCCACACGTCCATGCTGCATGCTGACCTCCCCCGAGACCCTGCTGGCGTGTGCGGCTGCGCGAGGCCCTGTGTCCAGGACTGGCATGGGCGGGAGGGGCGTGAGCTTGTCCCTTAGAAGTGAGCCCGAGGCAAGGGGACAAGTGCGGTTCTCACGATGCCACCTCACGTCTTTAGCACCCTGGAAGTTGGAAACGCGGTCTGACCACAGAGAGAGTGTCAACCACAACTAAACACGGGGTCTGAGGCACCGAGTCCCCGCTGGCCCACCCCGCAGCCTGCAGCTGGGTGGGGGAGGGCCTGGAGGGCCGGTCTGGGGCCAGACCCCCGGGTGCAAGCCTGGCCCACCACCTACTGCGAGCGTTTAGGCAAGCCACCTCACTTCCTGGTGCCTCGGTTTCCCCACCCCTAAAACGAGGCCCTTGGCAGTAAGCATGTCACAGAGCGGCTATGTGGTCAGTGAGATTCCATGTGACAGGCACTCAAGTGGTGCCTGGAAGCGCTGTATGCGACCTTCGCCCCCCGCGTGACCAAGTGCCACTGCAGGGCTGCTGCTACCTCGGGCTCTGGGTTTGTCTTGGCTTGACTTGTTTCCATTTTCAATTGAAAATTACGTTTGGACGGACTGCAGCCTGACTGGCCCGGGGCCAGTGAGCTCTGAGTAAGTGCAGACAGGGTGGGGTCACCAGGATTTGGTTCTTGGATGTTTTCCCCCTGTGGTTTTGGGCAGCTTGCTCCTCGGAGGCCAGCTGTGTCATCTTACGACTGGACTTTCCGGGAGCGGACTCGGTGACTCTGGGGTCAGCTGGGAAGGGCCGCTCTTGGATGAGGTCATCAGCCGTGCAGGAAGCTGCCTCCTTTCGCCCTGTAACCCCTCGGCCGATGGAAGCGGCGGACGCGCAGCTCCGGCGGCTGTCGCTCCGTTGCGGGGCCCTTGGGGTTCCTGTCTCCATCTGGGGGAGGCAGAGGCGGGGATTCCAAGACGGCCGAGTCCCTGCCCCTGCCACCTTTGTGCTGACGGCCACCACAGGGCCTCTTCCGTTAGCTGGGATGCAGTTAGCTGGGCTGGTGCACCCTTTCTCGGCTGCTCCCCAACTCTCCCAAAGTGTGCTGGCTGTGACCATCTTTCCCTGTCCTTGGGAACCACTGCGGGCCTGTTTCCAGCCCCTTCCCATGACACCCCGCCTGGCCAGGGTGAAAATGCTGTGAATCTAAAACTTGAATGAAGAAAGTTTAGCTTGAGGCACTCACTTTGTGTGCGTGCGTGAGACTTTTTAAAATTTATCTGTATGTTTATTTATTTAAAAAATTTTGCCTAGGGCAAGAAGTCCGTAAACACGCCAGCCCAAAGCACTAAATCATGCAAACATGGAGGCCAAAGAGCTTTTAAACCATAAAGACTGAAGACTCCTCCTGGGTGAAGCCACTCACTGGTTTGTGAGTGGACTGAGGCGCCAGCAGCCCACTGAAGTGACTGGGTCATGATCAGCAGGGGGCGGTCCTGAAGCCCCAGCGCTCTTCATTCGGTCAGCCATATAGGAATGACACCCTTTTCTGAGCCCTTTCTGAGGCTTTGTACCATGCTGGGCCACTGGCGTCAGATGCAAACAGAGTCGATAACTCTGCAAAAAGTCGCCAGGCAATTTATCCCGTTGGCACCAAGCCTAGAATTATAATCAGATCTTGACTTCTTCAAAGCCTTCTTGCTTTGGATTTTCCAAATCAAAAATAAATATCGAAGGCCATCACCTTCCTTCGGTCCTCTGATGTGCCAAGGAGGGTTTCATCCATTAATTCAAGAACCCTCTCATTTCATGCAGGAGGTATTAGCCTGTGGAATTTGTTAACTCAATATCAACACAGTCTGTCTAGGTCTTGACTGAAAAGAGAGAGGAGTTATTATGTTCTGGGTTAATATTTTCCTCTCTTTAAGAAGTCTTGGGGGTGCCAGACAGGCGTTTTCTTCCCATTACCGGGTACATTGCTTGTGTTCCACGTGCTTGCTATACTCAGGACACCCTCAAGGGGGCAGTGAACCACAATGTCTGGAGGTGTTTCAGGGGCGGCCCCTGCCGTTGCCTGGGTGGGCGGGGCGGGGCAGTGGGGGGATTGCTGGATGGCTGCTTGCCTTCTCAGGGGTTTCTCTGGGCTTGACACGAAAGCACTTCTCCTGGAGAGAAAGCAGGAGCTCCAGCAGTCTCGTTTTCAGAGAGCTGTGAACATGACCAGACCTATTAATTACTTAATTGAGGCTCTGGGCTTTGAAGATGAAAAGTGCTGTGTAAGTGGTGAGTTCTGTTGTTTCTAGTCTGGGGAGCTTTATCGGGGATCTTCTGAGTGTCTCTTTCAATCATCGAGTTCACGCTGGTGGCCTCCGGCGACACAGATGACCCACCCCTCCCCTGTGGGTCCTGGGTGAAACCACTGGCAAACACTTCCTTGATCTCAAGTCCCGCCAAGCTGCCCACAGAGTCCCAGCGAAGGGCTTAGTCACTCTCTGTGAGTTCCACTCACAGAAGGGCTCTGGCTGAGTCACGGCCCCCCTGTGACGGCTGAGGATCTGCAGTGATGCTGGTGCATTAAAGGTTCCTTGCTTGGCTGAGACAGACTGACGCAGATGCCCTGGTGGCTTTGCAGCCCTGCCCAGAGCTGAGGGTCTTGGCCACATACCTGGACAGTACCCCCAAGCAACATGCCAGCCGTGCCTGGGATCTGCAGTCTGCAGCTCGCTGTCATTCTTGGGAATGGGGAGGGGAGGTGGGAGGAAGCGGGAACAGGAGAAGGAAGGGAAGGGTGGGCGGGGCTAGAAGCCAGGACAAGGAGGGCCCAGCGTCTCTCTTCAAAGCCCGGCTGATTCCCTTCCTCCTGCCATTCTTCTTCCTTCCCTCCTTCCATGCTGATGTGATTAGAAAGGCAAAATCCTAAAGGCAAATGACCTAAAACTGTGACCTAACCTAAGAGATTAGCCTTCGTGTTAACAGAATTAAAAATTAATCCCTGTAAAGCAGGGTGTTTGCCTCACTCCACGGCTCTTAGTAATTCTCGTGGATGTTGTACATAGTTCTTCTCCGCATCTAGACCGAAGATGCACGAGAAGGCACTGAAGAAGCTAAGAAGTCTGGATACACGGAAAAGGGCTGGTGGGGAAACAGACGCACCCCAGTCCAGTGCGAAGGTCTCTTTTCCCACGCCGGGGTGTGTGCGTTTTCTTCCATAGTGTGGGTTCCTCTCACTTGTAGCCCATGACCCAATGTAGCTCGACAAGTCTGTTCCACTTAACCTTTTGAGAGCCTGTACGATCCCTTAGCTGCATTATTACAACCTCAAGAGCAAGACCTTGACTTACTCGAAAGTCTCAAAAGGGCCAAGTGCACTGGCCTGCCTCCTGCCTGCCCGTCACGCACGCTTGCTGGCGGGAATTGTGGCTTTAACTCGTTTTTGGAATGATGACTTCATTCTAGAATATGGTCGATTCTGTTTAAAGGAGGGTTGTGTGGTCCCCATGATTCTCATTGGAAGAGATACAGCGAGACCAAGATTTGTGATGCCATTGGATGATGAGTCAAAAAGACTCCCGTCAGCTCAGTTCGGGGTCCGGTGGCCCCCGCCACTCCCTGCTGGCACTCGGCTCCTGCTGGACCGTGCCGCGTGCTACCTTCTGCCCGTGCTGTGGGTTCGGGGCTCTTTAGCTCCGTCCTACCAATGCAGGTCTAAACTGGCCGTCCATTGCATTCTAATTTATTCCATTCCATTCGATTCGATCCCACTTTATAAAAATTAATGCTGCTGGTGCCCTGACACCTTCTTTTCATGGGCTGTGCCCGTCCATTCTGAGTACTTCATGCACCACACATAAAGTAGGCCATTTGTTCCTCAATTTTATTTTTTATTTTTTGGAATAACAATCATCCTTACCACAGGTGCACAGTGCTATAAAGTGGAACTATTAGTTATTAAAATGTGGTATTTAAAGTTTAAGCATTTTTTAAAATTAAAAGTGCAAAAATTCAAAAAAGAAATTAAGATGGAACAGAGAATGGGCATTTTGGGAAATTAAATCGCCCCCACCCACCCAACACACACACACACACACACACACACAATTTCTTGTCCTGGGAACTGCAGCAGCCTGAGAGGTGGCACCTGAGACAGGGCATTGGGTAAGCCCAGCCCCGCCCTGGGCAGGAGACTCCCTGGCAGTTGTGGAATCCTCGTCACCCGTTCTGCAGACCCCATGCAGCAGGCCCCCTTCCTCTTAGTGGGGCTGGCGGCCACTAAACCTGCTGTCCCCACATGAATCTCTCAGGCTCCTACACTGGCCCTTCGACTATTCTGCTTGCATCCTCCCCAGGCCACCCCCTGCCAGGCCCTCTCCTCTGAAACCAACTTCCCAAACCACTTCTGGAGTCACTTTAAAACATCTATGTCAACACACCATTACTCAAAAGTCCACAGTAAAGAAATGCATTTTATAACGGGACCCATTCACATGTATGGGTGTACATTATACATGCTTATATGCATACATACATATATATACACACACGCACTTAAAAAAAAACAAGACAAGATTCATGAACTAATGTTTACTTTCCCTAGGTAACACCTTTTCTGACATTTTTCCATTCCCGTCCATTCCATTCTAGTTAATTCTATCCCATTCTATTCGATTTGGTTCCATTTCATAAAAATTAATGCTGCTGGTGCCCTACTACCGTCTCTTAATGGGTCATGCCCACACTTTGACTCAGAGAGAAAGTTCAAAATGCTTAGCCTCGTTCTTAAGGTGCTTGCCAACCCGCTGCCCCCACGCTCCTCACTCCCGCCACCTGCCCCCACCGCCTGTGCAGCCTTTTCGCAGAATTCCATGTGAGAACTCTCGGTTCTTCCTCTGCTCTTCGGCTTACCCCACTTTGTGCCAATCTCTACCCACCACTGCTTGTCCTGTGGGCCCAGGTCAGTCCTTGCCTCCTTCCTGAAGCATCTCTGACCAAGATGTCCATCTCTGGCATTGGATCGGAAGGGCGGGCTCTGCTTTCCTAAGCTTGGTTGATGAACAGCCCACCTCGTCTAGGTTCTCGTCCCAGTTCAAACTATCAAGGGAACGTGTGGCCAGGAGAGGGACACTTAACACTTTCGCAAGTTACCAACGGCCCGGAACACCCCAGCCCTCCTTTCTCAAAGCCTCCCCTACTTTGGGCTCCCCAGGGTGGTAGTGAGCAAATCGAAATGTTTCAGTAACAAGTTGCAACCCCCAAACAATTTTCCTGCGGAGGTAAACAGTGTTACGTGGGTAGGTGTCCCCGAAAAGTTGTTCTGAGCGCCATGCTTTACCCACTGTGGTTATTTATATTAGATTTTATCAGCTGGCCAACAACCTACTCTCTACTCAGAACATTGTTTTTACAGGAAAATGCATCACATCGCACACGAGCGCTAAACCACCGACCTACGATCTGCTCTTGGAGCACTGCCTGTCCTCTGGCTGATGTGGTCGAGCACCTCCGGTCACGCCGCCCCGCCACCCTTCCGTGTGGGCACCTTGTCTCCCCGACTTGATGCCAAGCCTTGGACACCAGCATCGCGTCCCCAGCCTCCCTCCGTTTGTCACAAGGCTGAGCGTGGCTCTCTCCGTGAACACTTGTCAGTGACATCTTGTCTTCCTTGCCTCCTCTGGGCCACCCGGTGACCTCAGCCTCATCTTTACCTTGGATCATCCCACCGTCTGTTGACATATAAGAAGAGAAAATGGAAAGATGAGAAGAAAATAAAAGAAAAAGAAAAAAGAAAAAAATTCTACTGATCTGAACAGAAATAGTTTCCCAGTGGAAAAGAACAGAGAAGCCAAGTGAGATGAAGGCGAGAGAGAGAGGATTAAGATTCGAGATTCCCACCCCGGACCCAAGAGGCTGAGGCGTTTCGAGTTTCGACTTTACAAGATGGGAAGGATTCTAGAGACAGGTGTTGGTGACAGTTGCAAACATAATGGACACATTTAATACCACCGAATTGCTCACTGAAAAATGCTTATGATGGTAAATTTTACGTAGGCGTATTTTACCACAATAATAAGAAAAAAAAAATTAAAACGCCCCCAAAGTTTCCCATTTGGTTCAACCTCCCATTCAAGTTGATTGAGCAACTAAGAGTTTCCATTTGATATATGTATCGCATTTTATCACAGAAATCGAAACTATAAAATAAATTCCAGGCTTCATACAAAATATCAAGTAGAATTGTCGATTTAAAATAAATAGGAGAAATGCTCCAGGGGCAAGGAGTGACGGAGGCGGGAAATGAGAGAGCTTTCGACGGTGATGGTAATGGCCATCTTGCAAAAAAGATTTAGGTTACATGGGTGCAAGCATGTACACTAAGATTCTTGACTGTAAATTTGACATCGAAAGAAAAAAATCTATAAATATTTAACTCGAAAAAAAGTGGAGACCCAGGAGAGGGCTCGGTCAGGTGTTTCTGATGGATGAGAAGCCACGGCGCCCTCATGGAGTAGTCATCTGCTCACAGGCCCGAGCTGAGTTGGTGGGGACTGAATGGGTCACTCCTTTTGCACTGGTCCATGGCTCCAGGGTGCCCGGCTCAGGTCAGAGCCTCTTTAGCCTGCGGCATCACCGTGCGGCTGACGGGCCATCTTCCCTTCAAGTTTCCAAGAGCTATGGTCTTGCTTGGACTTGGAGAAAAAGAAGGCCTATGGCAGGGCCAGGGAAGGTTCCAGATGTTCTCAAGTCCCTGAGCGCCGTTACGGTGTAGCCCAGAGCATCTAGGTGTGGAACAGTGCATCCCTGCCTTGGGACACATCAGGCAAGCGAGGTTAAAAATACAAAACCGGATGTAAGGGTCCATTGAGAGGCCTTTCTGCCCACCCCTTAAGCTGGCATGTTTGTGGCTTTGGCAATCGGATTTCGAAGGACAAGGTGACATCAACCCTCTGTGCCCCTGCTCCAAATGTCCTCTATTCACCGACAAGGTGTTTCTCGAGAAGTGGACACATAGAAGAAAAGAAAGAAACAGAGAAAGAAACTGAAAGAAGAGATTGAGAGAGATGATTGACAGATATCCATACACAGAGCACACAGATGGCTAGAGGGAGACAGAGATCCTTCGGGACCAATGAAGAAAGATGCACACACGGGGCACACTTACAAACGGAGACGCAAACACTCCATCAGGAAGACACACTTTCAACTTGGGATCTGATAGACCATCTCCTAAAAGATTAAAAATCGTGATGCATCTTCACAACCACAGCACAAATGCAGATTGCACCTGGTGGGTTCGCCTCGGTCAGACAGTGTTAGCTCAAGGTCAGATATCATAGGGACTGTCCCTGCTCCTGATTTATTTGGATGACTCATGGGTCCGAATTTGGTGATCAGCTTTTCAAATTCCCCTCCTCGGCTAAGAAAGGTTTTTAAGCACCATTTATGCTCTTAGGATATTTGGGTGTGAAGTGGGCACAATGGCCTCTCAGATCTTCCCAGGTCCTAATCTTTAGAACCTGTGACTATGTTGTGTCTCCTGTCAGGGGGAATTCAGGTGACAGATGGAAATAAGATGGCTTACCAGCCGATGTTAAAATAAAGAGATTATTCTGGATCGTATGGTGGACCTGGTCCTTAGATGGGGAGGCAGAAGGGCCAGAAGCAGAGAGATGGCATTGTGAGGAACACTCAGCCTGTCCTTACTAGACCTGAGGATGGAGGAAGGATCATGAGCCACTGAACGTGTACAGCCTCTAGAAGCTGGAAAAGGCGAGAAAATAGGTACTACCCTAGAACATCCAGGAAGGAATACAGCCCAGGGAGCCCCACTTCAGACTTTTTATTTTTATGTATTTATTTTTTTATTATTATTTATGCCTACAGCACTTGGTCTTCCTAGGTGGTTTCCCATCTAAGTACTAACCAGGCCCGACTCTGCTTAGCTTCTGAGATCAGACATCGGGCTTGTTCAGGGTGGCATGGCCGTACACCATGGACCGTGGCTCCAGTGGGGCGTGAACCCAGGACCTTCTGCGTGTAAAGCAGATGTGCTAACCACTACACTATGGAACTGCATCCCCCACTTCAGACTTCTGACAACCAGAAGTGTAAGAGAATAAATTTGTGTCATTTTAAGCCACCAGGTCGGTGGTAATTTATTATAGCGGCAATAGGAAATGAACACAGACATAAATCCCTTGAAAATCTATTTGAAAGACAAAAAATTCTTTAGCATACAGGCAATGAATCCATCCTTTTAAGATAGCCTCTGTATTACATGTGTGTTTGAAAAAATAAAACCTGATAATTCTCTCTTGCAGATCAACAAGCTAACTATTATGTTTTAAAAATAGTTATTCATTAAATTCAGTTGAGAATTTTCCATTATTTTTCAATGAGTTTGGTGTGTGTTTATGGGCACATACCACCTCAAAACCCACATTATACAGGAAACTTGAGGGGTGGCCTAAACTCTAGAGAGCCATGGAAAGTTCGTGATCATCTGGAAAGCTGAAGTGTAGGGACCTCAGTCATTTAACTATATTTGCTCAATCCCACATCAATGAAAGCCTTAATCTCTCCCCTTACTTAAAACTAGAGCCTCCAGAATTACAAGTCTTTGGCTCAGAGAAGGCTTAACACCAAGGTTTCTGCCCCTGGCGGCATGTTAGCACCTCTCAGAAGCTTCTAGAAATCCTGATGGCCAGGCCAGACCAGGTAAAGTGGAATCTTTGTGAGTGCCACCAGGTATCGGTATTTTGTGAAGCTTTTCATGTTATGGCAGTTTGCAGCCAACGTGAGAACTGATGCCGCAGGGGATCATAGTGGCTTCGGGGCAGGCCTGCCTTCTGCGGACTGGTGCATTGGTAGAGGTAGAGATGGGGAAAGTGAAAGGTGTAGGGGTGATTCAAAACCTACATGACAAAAGAATACAGATTCGGGTCTTACGTGGTGTACCAAGTGTGGATTAAGACTATGATAATGTTGGCGATGAAGCCGGGATGCCTTGGGAAGTGTTTCTAACAATTGCCTCACCCACGTCAGTATCAGAACGTGCGGGTCTTCAGTTCTTGCGACTCTGCATGACGATTTGGTGTTGAAGGATGCCTGTGGACAGGCAGCTCTCACACAGAAGGCCCGGATTACAGGAGTCTCGCCTGTCTCCTGGCTTCTCTGCTTCCCATGGTTATGAGAGAGATGCTGAAGAATGATGTTGCGAACACTCAGTTATCTGTCGAATGAACGAACAAACAAATGTGGGATTGGAATTTGTGTTCCTGTTCTTAGCCCACGCCTTCGTCGCTGCCCGGAGGTGATAAAGGGGAAATAATGGAGCCTAAGGGCCATCTTCCTTCTAATGCAATTGTCAAAAAAAAAGCTAGCTGCAGAATTCTAATTTGCTTGTATAAATAAGCAGGAAGTTCACAGCCCCGAGCAAGTGGAAAGTTGGAAAGGTTTTCTCAATAACAAATGTACAGGCACTGGGAGTTTTTAAAGAACTATAATTTCTCATGTACCCATCACTGATATAACTCAAACATTAATTTCGATTCCACTAATTTGGATTCTGCAGTAACTTATACTTGTCCAACTCATTCCTCTTGGGGAAAAAGAAAAGTTCAGAATAATTCTTTCCCTGATGGAGAAAACATTAGGTCTCAAGTTTGGAAGCTCAGGGTCAAACTCCGGGGTGGCAACTTATTAGCTGTGAGATGTGGGTAAGGCAGCAGCCTCGGTGGGTCTCCCCTGTGAACCTGCAATAAGCCGTGTGAACACAAAGGTGACCAAATGATACAGTCAACTGTGGGGCATTTTTCAATTCGTTGACAGCCTTTCTTACAATGTAATCTAGGCATTCATTAGTAGCTTTCTTAAATTCAAGAGACATGAGATTCCTTTGTGTGGCTTCAACCGCTGAGCTTAGCAATTGTTTACAAATACGTTTATCATTATATTGTATGAAATACAAAATTTGTAAGCATTACCTTTCTTTATTATATAGACACTTAACAGCCCAGGGACATTGTATCTTTAAAATGTATTTAGTCATCAAAATCACCAAGGACAACACACACATATGTATGCATATGTGTGCTGCTGTATGTGTATATGTATATGTGTGTGCACACATGTATATGTGCAGGTGCACATACATGCACACACATATATACATATACAATATATATGAATATATATGTCTATACTATATATAGTATGTTGCATATATATGTATATACACAGATACAATATATATATTAGTATACAAATACATGTATTTATGCACATACACACATATTTATATGCATATGTAATTTCTAAATAAACATATATACTATACATAAATATATATTATATATATGTATGCATATATATACATGTATATGCTTATATATGAGTATACACACACATACCATGTATATATAATCTTTACATCTTGATTCAGAAAGTTTTGACTGAGGCCCAGGAATCTATATATTTTTTTATTAGTTGACCTGTATTTAAAAAATAGTATCCAGTTATTAATATTGTTAGATTGAAAACTTTAACAATAAAAATTTGTGGAAATATGTTTTCTCTCTTATTAAATATAAATACCTGCATAATATCCTTGCTTTTGTCCCTTGGATCTAAGACATTTACTACCCAGCTCTTTAAAGAAAATGTTTGCTGGTGTAGGTAGGTGTTGGCCCCAAGGAGAGAGAACAGGTGGGTTCAGATACTTTTTGGAGAGAGAGCTTTAATGCTGGCAGAACAGAGACCATGAGGCAGGGTGTTGGTGGGACGTGTGACTGCCTGATCCCTAAGACCTTTTCTAAGACTGTGAGGAAACAGTTGGCCAACAGCATCTGGGACCAAGAGGCTGCCATCCCTGCCACAAAGCAGCCCTTCCATAGACCTCTCTGGGCTGGGTCTTTCAGGCTCCTCCATGCCCTGGCTGAGCCTGCAGGTCCCAAATGTGCTAATGTTACTATTGACCAGGACAAGAAGTGCCTGGTGAGGATCTTGGATGCTTCCAGGAACAGCCAGTAAACAAATGTATTTATTAATTGATTATTATCATTGTCAAGTTTCCAGCTACCTCCCCACCTTACATCTGACCAACAGGCTGGCTCATGGCTGGTTCTGAGAATGAACGGCTTAAGAATTTAATCAGGTTCAGGTAACAGGTAAGGACTGGTTCCCCAGCAAGGGGAAAAACACAGCAAATATTTTGGATTAAACTATGTGTGTGTATCTTGCTGGAGCTTGCAGGCCCTTTGGAGGCTCTCACACAGCTCTTAATTAATTGCTGGAGCCAAGTGGGGCAACCTTGAGAACGCTGTTGCTTTTGCTAATCTGATCCAGCCTGCTCAGGGAGGGAGTGGGGCTGGCCTTGGCTTTGGAGGATGAGTAGGGTGGGCTGGGAGCATGGGAGAACCTCACCCTAGATGGTTGGGACACAGTCCAGACTGGCCAACCTGTTGGTCAAGCAAACTAATGAACAGGCTTAGTTCTCTGGCTCGGAAAGGAGGGACCTGGAATCGAATTCTGGCTCCGACACTTGAGAACTTGGCCAATTAACCCCTTTGAGCTTCAGTGTTTCATCTGCAAAATGAATGCAGGACTCCAACCTTGAAGGGCTGTCGTGGGAAGCAAATGAGATGAGGACGGTGCCGTGTAGCACAAGCCTCAAGTCCAGTCCTGGCAAGGCCAGCGACCAGGTGAGCCCGCCAGCAGCTAGAAGCAGTGCTGGCCGCAGGGGTGGGGAGAGGGGCAGAGACCTAGGGCAGGCACATTTCTCTGAGGGCAGAACATCTCCCCAGGGGAGAGGCTGGGGGTGGGAGACTACATGTGCCGGGGGCCACCTCCCTCACTCTTCTGAAGCAGAGCTCGGCAGAGCTGGGGCCCGGAGCGGAGAGGTCTTACTGAGGGACCTTTTCCTTGGTGCTTGTCCTCTGTGGAGCCCCATTTTGCTTCACTGCCCCTGACATGGCCAGTGCCCTGGTCACAGACGTGCCTGGGACACTTTCTTACTCACTCCTTCCCTGCAGAAAGTCTTCCTTGAACATACTGGAAGGGGTCAGCCCTCTTCTGGCCTCAAGAGTACACTTTCCAGAGACACCTCTGGTCATGGTTCCTGAAACTTTCTGGTGCCCCTCGTCCTTGTCTCGGCTAACTCTTCCATCATTCCACCAGGCCTTGAAGGGCAGGCACTGGATCTTGTGCAGCTTTGAGTCTTCAGGATAGGAGTCATTTCTCAATAAATATTTGCTGAACTGAACCAATTTCTTTCTTTATAATGTAAAAAATTGAAGCCGTGAGAGGACGGTGACCTTTCTAAAGTCATATGCTTATCGGCCGACTCAGCCCATGCTTCTCAGGCAGGATCAGGCATAGTTATCAGGCAAAACATTCCCATTCCATTCTTATTGCATTGAAGAATGTCATATTTGTGACTCAGTAGGATCAGAATCAGTCAACAGCAAAAGCTCCTTGAACATCTCAATATGGAGGACATAGGTAGAGCAGATTGTCATTTTTTTAAGTCTCAAATTCACGTGAGAAGAAATGCAGCTTAATGTTTTTTGCTGTTATTTTTCAATAAGTCATATGATCACATTACATAAAAGCAAA